TTATTTATTTTTAAAAGTTGACATGCCAGGTTCACCAGCTTATTCTTCATCATGTAGGAAGGAATGGAGGGAACAATCTGGAAATCAATATAAGGGGTTCATGTTAGGCATAAGAAAGAACATGGAAAGCTTTTGTTGTCTTAAAAATTTCTGGAGTAGTACACCACAGAAGTTACAAGGGTTTGAAAAATAGACGCCTTTTAAGCAGGTAGTCGATTACTCACCTGATCAGGATAAATCTGGTATAAATCTGTTATCCTAGAGGCACCTCAGATGAGCAGCAACCATCTTGATCTTAGTAGCTTAGAATTTCATTTAATTGTCTCTTCTGACTTTGTGTATTTATTTTTGACTGTACAGTACAGCTTGAGGAATCTTAGTCCCCTGGCCAGGGATTCAACCCCAGCAGTGAAATTGCTGGGTCCTAACCAGTGGATGCCAGGGAATTCCCTTTATTAACTTTAAGTTAGCAATGTTACTGGTAATAATGGTGAATGGTTTGCCATTTCCTAAAGGTACATTTGCCCTGGTAGTGGACTAACTGCATATTAAGTCCCTAGAGAAGAGACTGCTACTAGAACACTGTTAAAGTCTTCCTATTCCAGATGATGAAGAGTTACAAAGAGCATGGCAACACTCATGTGACCAACCATTCAGGACGATTTTCCATGTGAGGTAATGCTATTGAACAAAACAGAATGTGTCTTAGAATTTTCCTAAACCCAGTTGTGTGTCTTCATACATGCTCCCCAGTTGTTTGAAAAAATGTCAAGAAGACACAGCACAGAACAAGTCAAATAAAAACAATTAAAAACTAGCTTCCTGGGACTGTCTGTGAGCTGCCAGTGGTTTGCCAAAAACAAAACCAGGAACCGAAAACAATCTGTGGACAGTTAATCTTTTGGCCACAACTAACTCAAAGGATGCTTTGAGATCTGGGGATAAAGCATTCTGCACCTTGGGGCCTGGCTGGTTTTGTGGTGACTCTTTCCTCAAGGTCAACATACTGATGAACAAACGGAACCAGGCAGTGTGCAAGAGTTATAATGGATCCCAGTGGTGTCATCATAGAAAAAGTAACACAACATTCGATCTATACTGTATGCAGATTGCAGAGTTGAAAGGACAATATCAAGGTCCATCCCTTAACCCCATTTTATAGATGGCAAAACTGAGACGCTGAGAGTTCAAGCGCAGATACAAGACGTAACTGCTTGCTGGTGGCAGAGCTGAGACAGAAAATCAGAAGCCCTGCCTAGTCCTCCAACTTCATTCACACCACTCTCCTCTTCCCTCCTTACGCTCTAGGAAAATTCGTCTCCATCCTCTTCTGCCAGGTCAGGGTTGATCCCACTTCTGGCCTGGTGCTTGCCCCTTCCTCTGTCTTTTTCCCCACACATTCCTGTGGCTTCTCTTTCTGCTAGGTATCACCTCAATTTCAATTCCCTAATTTTCCCCTGGTAACCCACCAGTCACTGTCTGTCTATTGTAACCCTGTTTAATATCTGGAATTATCTTCTTCATCCACTATTTCTTTTTCTGTTACCTCCTGCCATTCTCGGGTAACCCCCAGGAGATGGGACCTTACCTTGCTGCACTTCCTGCTTCTAGAACGGTGACTGGTACAGTGTTGGTGCCCAGGGAACAGAGTGTTTCACCACTAAGGAAGAGAGAACTTTTTCAGAGTCACTCTGGGACTTCCCTGGTGGGTTCAGTGAATAAGAATCCACTTGTCAATGCAGGGGACATGGGTTCACTCCCTGGTCTGTGAAGATTCCATATGCCACGGGCCAACTAAGTCCATGTGCTACAACGGCTGAGCTGGAGCACTGAGAGCCATGGTCCACAATGAGAAGCCCCCTCAGTGAGAGAAGCCCCCAGTGAGAGAAGCCCCCACAGTGAGAGAAGCCCCCCAGTGAGAGAAGCCCCCCAGTGAGAGAAGCCCCGACAGTGAGAGAAGCCCCACAATGAGAAGCCCCCACAGTGAGAGAAGCCCCACAGTGAGAGAAGCCCCGACAGTGAGAGAAGCCCCACAATGAGAGAAGCCCCCTCAGTGAGAGAAGCCCCCACAATAAGAAGCCCCAAAGTGAGAGAAGCCCCACAGTGAGAGAAGCCCCCACCGTGAGAGAAGCCCCCACAGTGAGAGAAGCCCCCTCAGTGAGAGAAGCCCCCACAGTGAGAGAAGCCCCCTCAGTGAGAGAAGCCCCCACAGTGAGAGAAGCCCCCTCAGTGAGAGAAGCCCCCTCAGTGAGAGAAGCCCCCTCAGTGAGAGAAGCCCCACAGTGAGAGAAGCCCCCTCAGTGAGAGAAACCCCCACAGTGAGAGAAGCCCCACAGTGAGAGAAGCCCCCATAGTGAGAGAAGCCCCCACAGTCAGAGAAGCCCCCTCAGTGAGAGAAGCCCCACAGTGAGAGAAGCCCCCACAGTGAGAGAAGCCTCACAATGAAAGAAGTCCCATAATGAGAGAAGCCCCCACAGTAAGAGAAGCCCCCACAGTGAGAGAAGCCCCCACAGTGAGAGAAGCCCCCACAGTGAGAGAAGCCTCACAATGAAAGAAGTCCCATAATGAGAGAAGCCCCCACAGTAAGAGAAGCCCCCACAGTAAGAGAAGCCCCCACAGTGAGAGAAGCCCCCACAGTAAGAGAAGCCCCCACAGTGAGAGAAGCCCCCACAGTAAGAGAAGCCCCCACAGTGAGAGAAGCCCCCACAGTGAGAGAAGCCCCCTCAGTGAGAGAAACCCCCACAGTGAGAGAAGCCCCACAATGAGAGAAGTCCCCCCAGTGAGAGAAGCCCCCACAGTGAGAGAAGCCCCCACAGTGAGAGAAGCCCCCTCAGTGAGAGAAGCCCCACAGTGAGAGAAGCCCCACAGTGAGAGAAGCCCCACAATGAGAGAAGCCCCCCCAGTGAGAGAAGCCCCACAATGAGAAAAGCCCCCACAGTGAGAGAAGCCCTCTCAGTGAGAGAAGCCCTCACAGTGAGAGAAGCCCCCACAGTGAGAGAAGCCCCACAGTGAGAGAAGCCCCACAATGAGAGAAGCCCCACAGTGAGAGAAGCCCCACAATGAGAGAAGCCCCACAATGAGAAAAGCCCCCACAGTGAGAGAAGCCCCACAATGAGAAAAGCCCCCTCAGTGAGAGAAGCCCCACAATGAGAGAAGCCCCCACAGTGAGAGAAGCCCCCTCAGTGAGAGAAGCCCTCACAGTGAGAGAAGCCCCCACAGTGAGAGAAGCCCCACAGTGAGAGAAGCCCCACAGTGAGAGAAGCCCCCTCAGTGAGAGAAGCCCCACAATGAGAAAAGCCCCCACAGTGAGAGAAGCCCCACAATGAGAAAAGCCCCCTCAGTGAGAGAAGCCCCACAATGAGAGAAGCCCCCACAGTGAGAGAAGCCCCCTCAGTGAGAGAAGCCCTCACAGTGAGAGAAGCCCCCACAGTGAGAGAAGCCCCACAGTGAGAGAAGCCCCACAGTGAGAGAAGCCCCCACAGTGAGAGAAGCCCCACAATGAGAAAAGCCCCCACAGTGAGAGAAGCCCCACAATGAGAAAAGCCCCCTCAGTGAGAGAAGCCCCACAATGAGAGAAGCCCCCACAGTGAGAGAAGCCCCCTCAGTGAGAGAAGCCCTCACAGTGAGAGAAGCCCCCACAGTGAGAGAAGCCCCACAGTGAGAGAAGCCCCACAATGAGAGAAGCCCCACAGTGAGAGAAGCCCCCACAGTGAGAGAAGCCCCACAATGAGAAAAGCCCCTACAGTGAGAGAAGCCCCACAATGAGAAGCCCCCACAGTGAGAGAAGCCCCACAATGAGAAGCCCCCACAGTGAGAGAAGCCCCACAATGAGAAGCCCCACAGTGAGAGAAGCCCCACAATGAGAAGCCCCACAGTGAGAGAAGCCCCCACAATGAGAAAGAGTAGCCCCCAATCGCCATGACTAGAGAAAACCGGAGCTCAGCAGTGAAGACCCAGCACAGCCAAAGATAAATAAATAAATAGGGTTGAATTTTTTTTAAAAAGGTACTGTTTATCTGAATCTTCTGATTACATTACACTGCAACTTTTATTCCTGTAGCATTAATAATAGCTATTATTTACTAAGGTTAGATGACATCACCAACTCAATGGACATGAATTTGAGCCAACTCCAGGAGATAGTGATGGGCAGGAAGGCCTGGTGTGCTGTAATCCATGGGGTAATAAAGAGTTGAACACGACTTAGTGGTTGGACATTTACGAATGATGTGGTATATTTTCAAATGTTCTGGCAGGCCTTTTTCAAATCTTATTTCATTCAATCTTTGCAGCAACCCTAGGTAGTAATGATGCTTTACTGATGCAAAAGCTGAGAATGTAAGGGGCTCAAACAAGTGGCAAAGTAGCATTCATATCCACACTTGTCTGACCAAAAAGTAATCAAGCCTAGAGTAAGCATACTGGTAACGTGCTTTATTTATCTATCTGTTCCCAAGTGTTCAATATCAGAAACATACCACTAAATATGATTACAGAACACTTAGCAGATTGTGAAAGCTGAGAACAGGTTTTAACTCCACATTAACAATGAATCAGTCAGCTGAAAGTACAGGGATGTTTTTAACTGCACTGATCTTTGAAAGCTCAAGTGAGCTTTGCCTTTCTCATTTGTTTAGGTTCTGGTGTGTCTGTTGTGTCTGCCAGGACTCGTGAGAGGAAAGGGGAAGCCACTGCTGTGGGGAGAGCCTTGCTGACTCAGGGCTGATGGACCAGCAGGGGCTGATGCCAAGTCTGGGTTCAGCCCTGCAATCGTGCAGGCGGCCTCGACTTGTGGGAAATGGACTTCAGACGGATTCAATCAGGCTATGAATCAGCATCTCAAGAACTGAAAACAGGAGCTATCACCTTCGTCTTGTTCTGCGTCCTACCTGCTAACCACGGCCTGCCCTCAGCTCCCCAAGCTGTGACTGTGGAGAGCTGTGTAAACGGTGACTGGCAGACAGGTTGAGGGATAATCTGGTGTCATTTTGGGCTGGCAGACTCTGGGGGACTCGCTTCAAGGCCCGTGGGGCTTTTCCGCCTTGACTTACACCCTGGCCTTCCTTGGGGAAGGGAGGTGGGACTCGGAGGAGGGTCAGTTGCTCATTCCAAGAGCAGGGACGCTGAGCGGCAGCACCGGCTGTCAGCTGCCTCTGACCCTGGCCGTGGCCGTGGGCGTCAGGCGCGTTCACGAGCACCCGCGGTGGGCCGGCGCGCCCCCAGAGGCTCTCTGCCTCACGCCCACTCTCTCCCCTCTGCCTTCACAGCGCCTCCCCCGCCCCTTCTGCTGGTCTGTCTCCCGAAGTGCACGGAGCTAAGGGCCTCTGCCCCAGCCTATGGCTCTGTTGCTAGAGCCTCCTCCAGGACACCGCCCAGAGCAGGGTAGTGTCCGCCATGTTTGTTCTTCTTTACCTGTTTATTCTTGCAGAGTTTAAAGGCCACTTTCCACTGATCGTGTTTCAAAATGCTGGCTATGCTCCCCATGCTGCACTACTCACCCCTGAATCTACGCTATGCCCAGCAGCTCCCCCCTCCCACTCTCACCCCTACATTCCCCTGCCACCGCCACTGGTTCCCGCTAGCGTGTCCTCTGTAACTGTGAGTCTACTTCTCTTGCGCTGTATTCACTAGTTGGCTGTGTTTCTTAGATGCCAAATACAAGTGCTATCATACAGTCTTTATCTTTCTGACTTATCTCACATTGCATAATGTCCTCCAAGTCTATACACGTTGCTGCAAATGGCAAAATTTCATTCTCTGTTATGTTTGAGTAGTATCCCACTGTATATACCACATCTTTTTTTATCATTCATCTGTTGATGGACATGTAGATTGTTTCTATGTCCTGGCAATTGCAAATAGTGCTGCTATGAACATTGGGGTGCATGTATCACTTGAACTAATGGTTTTGGGTTTTTTTCCCAGTCATGTTGTAGTTCTGTTTTCATTTCTTTCAGAAACTTCCATACTGTTTTACACAGTAGCTGCATCAATTTACATTCTTATCAACAGTGTACAAGGATTCCCTTATTTCCTTAAAAAAAAAAAAACAACTAAGAGGCTGCTTGCAATATTTTGTCTCTTTTCCCATATTTTATTCACTTATGTATTTATTTACTTTTGGCCTCACCATGCAGTTTGTGGGATCTTAGCTCCCAGACCAGGGACTGAACTCACACCTTTAGCTATGAAAGCACAGAGTCCTAACCACTGGACAACCAGAGAATTACTCTCCTTTTCTCACTATATTTTTTATCCAAATATTCCTTTCAGAAAATCCCTACACTGCTGCTTACCTATGCTAACTCCCTTCTCCAGAGGATCTTCCCAACCCAGGGATCGAACCCAGGTCTCTCACATTGCTGGTGGATTCTTTACCAGCTGAGCCACAAGGGAGGCCCTATACTAACACAGGTGTGTACAAAACATGTCCAAGGACTCAGTGCAAAGGAAGAAAAATTAATTTTTATGCTCTTCTGAAGTCTCAAACATCTTTTGTGCGGAGCAGAACTGTGGAGCAGATCACAAGCCAGCCTTATGCTCCATGGTGCTGGGTACCCCAGAGCAATGAGATGCAGTGAAAAGTATAAAACTGGATTTTTAAATATGTTAATGATAGGAGGAAAGAATGCTACTTGTACATTAAACATTAAAAGGGAAGGGTGAAATATTTTTCTTCAGCAGTTTTAGGATGAGAACATGGGAGAGGACAGTAGCGTGTGAAATTTTGATGAAATGTGGCTTTTAGGAGGAAGAACAGATGAAGACAGCTGGGAGGAAAGAAGGATGTTCTGAATGAGGATGGAGGATTGTCTAAAAGGAGTGGTTTCAGGAGGCCGATTTAGGGAGTTTCACCCACCAGAATCCTGGGGTACCGCTAGGCCTGGGGAGGCTGCCTATGCTTCAAAGTCAAGGAGTGGACGTGGGGCTCCAGTAGGAAAGGACTCATCTGTGCTGACAGGACCTCCCAGGGACAGAGCTGGGGAGGACGGGCGGATCTGCAGGCAGATACACGGAGCACCTGCCCCTTGGGTGATGGATCAGTCACGTGACTCACGGACGCAGCACAAACACCGGAGTTGTTCCCAAGGTTCAGGTGAGCTGTTTTCCAAGGATCAGAGGAAGGCTCGGCTGTGGGCTTGTCAGGCTGAGCTCTGGTGTGGCTTGGCGTGAAGTCTGGGTGAGGTGGGTGCCCAGGCGAGGTTGCACCACAGGGGGATGGGCAGCGGGCCCCAAGGGGACACGCAGAGGTTCAGGAATCCAGATGCCTGCAAAGAAGAACGGGAGCTCCCATGAGCCTCTGAGAAATTTGAACAGGAAAACAGGTCTCTGCCCTGCTTTCAGGCACTTATTCTCATCCTCTCCTGGTTAGAGCTCATATCTGCATGGGCTGCCTCAGTTCAGTCAGTTCAGTCGCTCAGTTGTGTCCGACTCTTTGTGACCCGTGGACTGCAGGATTCCAGGCCTCCCTGTCCATCACCAACTCTCTGAGTTTACTCAAACTCGTATCTATTGAGTTAGTGATGCCATCCAACCATCTCATCCTCTCATCCCTTCTCCTCCTGCCCTCAATCTTTCCCAGCATCAGGGTCTTTTCAAATGAGTCAGTTCTTCGCATGAGGTGGCCAAAGTATTGGAGTTTGAGCTTCAACATCAGTCCTTCCAGTGAACACCCAGGACTGATCTCCTTTAGGATGGACTGGTTGGATCTCCTTGCAGTCCAAGGGACTCTCAAGAGTCTTCTCCAACACCACAGTTCAAAAGCATCAATTCCTCAGCACTCAGCTTTCTTTATCGTCCAACTCTTACATCCATACATGACTATGGGAAAAACCATGGCAGAGAAATGAAAACAGCTGACTTGCTGGAGAAGCCCTCAGTAGAAGAGCAAATGTCATGCTTGTCACCAGTGTTGCTTTTCATCAAGGGGCTGGAGTTGGAAGCGAGGCAGCTAACTGGAAGGGACCCAAAAGCGGATGGTCTGGAACAGACTGGGATGGTTTATGTCTATGTTAAGCTATTAGAGTAACTGAGGATGTGGGCCTATCCCTCACCTTACCACCCTCTCTCACCATACTGCAGATGGATGGATCTGAAGTTAGGTTACAGGGGAAAGCTCTTTAGAAGTCATAGGAGGGAGCTAGGCAGATGGTCACCTCAAAATTAAGCTTCAGTCCAATGGGGCAGGCAGCTGCAGAACTAGGCTGGGGTCAGTGACCCACACTGTGTTCAGAAGAGATATTAGAAGCCTAGGGTGTCTCCCAGGAGGGGCTCCACCTAGAAGGTTATAGCAAAGCAAAGGATAAGAGTTTAGAACTTTGGTCAGAATAACACTTATGACTATGTTTGTCATATTTAGCAAGGAGACAGTCTCACTGTGGGGAAAGAACTGGGTCTACCTATGGTTTCGGTGGCATTATTTCTGGGGCACAGAGCTCAATCTGAGACAGTACAAAGATGCTTGCCAGGGCTTCTCAGAAGAAACACTGTCTTTCCTATTTGTAAGATATTTCACTCCTGGGCAGTGGAGTGTGAACGTGAGTCCTACGGTTGCTGTGGCCATGGGATGAAGGGTATAGGACTAGCTGGGCTGCAGCTCATGTCATGTGCAGCCCATGCTATGACAGGGCAGAAGTTAACTTTAGTGGCATGGTCTGAGCTGTTGGATCAAACCTGACCTGAAACACCATTACTACTGAACAAATAATTTATATTATTATTACTTTAGATAATTTGAATGGGGTTTTCTGTTTTTATTTTTCAACATAGTTTTAATTCATGCATTGCATGCATGCATGTTAAGTCGCTTCAGTTATGTCCAACTCTTTGCAACCCTGGGGACTGTAACCCTCTAGGCTCCTCTGTCCATGGGATTCTCCAGGAATACTGGAATGGGTTGCCATTTCCTCCTCCAATCTTCCCAACCCAGGGACTGAACCTGCGTCTCTTACACCTCCTGCATTGGCAGGTGGGTTCTTTACTGGTAGCACCACCTGGGAATTCATGCCTTAGGGAGGGGCAAAAGGAACAAACCTGACAGGAGTTATGAACAACTACAAAGGCCTCTCATTTCAGGAATGAGGTCTTTTAGAAAAGAAATCCTAATGGTTTCACTAAGGATGGTGAAAAAGGGAAAGTGTTAGTTGCTCCGTGGTGTCCAACTCTTTGTGACCCCATGGACTGTAGACCACCAGGCTCCTCTGTCCATGGAATTCTCCAGGCAAGAATACTGGAGTCGGTTGCCATGCCCTCCTCCAGGGGATCTTCCTGACCCAGGGATCAGACCCAGGCAGATTCTTAACCATCTGAGCCAGCAGGGTTTTGAACATGACTTGAGAGCAGTCTCCAGGCACGAGGACTTCTCTTCGGAAGCAGCTGCTCATCCTAGAAGCGGAACACAAGCTGCGCAAGGCCAGAAACGATGTCCAGAAGGTGAATGGCAGCAGTGCCATCGCCGTGTGCTTGATTTGTTTTTAAGCTTTCCCAAAAGGCTGGGAGCTGGGTCAGAACTTCTTGCACTCTGCTAAACACTGTGTCGAACTCATCTGTGCGGAAAACTCACAAAACTGGCCCTTCCAGATTGTTCCCTAACTTCTGAGAAAGTAAGACAGCCCCCAAATACCACAAGCTGGCTGTGTGTGGGCGGTGCCAGAGGGAGGTGCAGCAGTGTTTCTGAGAAGGTCCCCAGTGCGATCTTTCCAGAAGAAACGTGCTCCTGGGATGAGGAGCCAACCTGCAGCCTAGCCTCCAAGTCCTGGGGAAGGGGGAGGCCAGGGCCATGCCCTGAGGCTGTTCTTCCAAAGCACACTTAGGTTGGGGTTCAAAAACAAGCACTCCCTCATCCCAGGGAAAAGCCACCTGCAGAGGAAGGCAGCACAGACAGGCAGTCTCCTCCAGGGCTCTCCAGTCACCAGGGGGGGGAGCTCCCCGGCACCACTAATGCTCTTCCACTGCTTGTATTTCCCCCACCCTAACCCTAACCCTAACCGCACATGCTGCCCAGGTAAAGGTGTTCACCTGGGAAAAGAACGTCTCTGTGACCTGCCCTGATGTGAAGCCCCACCCCCCTGTAGGACTGACCTGGGCAAGAGCCTAGGAGAGTTCATTCTGGGACAGAATCAAATGATGGTCATCATTTCTGGGGCAGAAATGGCTCTGTGGAAATGGAAGTCATCTGGGGGCAGCTGCAAAATGCTGAAGAGTGTTCAGTACCTCCTAATCCTGGGGCCCCTTTACAAAAGGCCTTCATTACAGTTGCTCACTGCCGCATCAATGAATGGAAAGAGCTATTTTCATTTTTCCAGGAATGGTAGGCAGGGGTCACATCATAAAAGCCTGGAGATGTCACGCTAAGGGAGTCAGATTGGATACTGCAGAGAACTGTTCCAGAAGGGGAGTGACTGGCTTACAGATACATTGAGTCCCTTCAGGCATCAGGATGAATGGGAGGAAGGTGGGAGGCTCTTACAATAGAGAGAGCTTAGGGGGACTGGATGTTAGGCTATCACTGCAGGGGATGGAGAAGAGATGGTGGGTTCAAAAGAGAGGAGGTAAAGGCTAACTTGTGCTGCTACTTAAATTGAAATGAACATATTGAAAATCAAGTAAGTTGATTTGAGACTAAAACGCTAAAACCCAACAAGATTTTGCCTGGGAGGGGTGGGAAAAGATTGTAAATCAGGATGAAATGAAGGCTTAAGCTAAGCAGGAAGGCTGGGGATTGGGGGTAGAGATCCTAGTTAGGACTAAAGTCCAAACTTTCTTTGATGTGGAGAACTGAGGTCTGCTCAATACTGAAAAGAGCCATGCAGATGCAGTTTCCAGCCTTCTCCTCCATCCCCAAACTCACTGGCACCCTGGAACCCTGGGCGGAAATACTGCAGCTGCCTTAGCACTGAACATTTTGTAAACTGCTGCATAGTTTTTGCAAGCATGGTACTCTTCAAAATGAAGATTAGTGACCCTGGCTTCTTGCTTACCTATGCATTAAATACGTGTACTCTACTTTGTAATCATGACCACGAACATGGAGTAATATTAATAGCTAGACAGATCATCTCTTGAAGCCAAGAACAGAAAAGTGTCTTTTACAAGGTAGGGTGTCAACCACAAAAGAACACCGTCATAAAGGAGGCTCATAGCTAAGTTGTGACAGACTGTTTCCAAAAATAGCAGCTGGGACAACTTTCATAACTATGGAAATCACAGTGAGAAGGCAAAAGTCTCTTCTGCCCTCTTGAAGCCTGCCAGGACAGAGAGGCGGGGTCATAGGTCAGTGCCACCCAGCGCCCAGGGGCCGAGGGCTGCTGGTAATTGCTGAGACTTCACTCACTGTTCCCCAGGCATGTCAGTCCTTGGCAGGCGCCACTCTCCGCTGTCTCTGAAGCCTCTCTGGTCTCGCTCCGGCCGGTTGATTAGCTGCCAGCGGGCTGCGGCCCTGTGTCCCTGCTCAGCCACCTGACACTGCTCTGGGCTTTGTTCCCGCCTTACTGGAACTCCGGGACAAAATCAGATCCCCGTCAGCATTATCACGGGCGCTGCAGAAGCAGCCTGTGCTCGGCCTTTAAATGTCCCTCCGCGTGTGGCTTTTCTCTGTTCTCATCCTAGCGGTCTCCCCGACCTGCTCTCTCTAGGGCTGACTTCTAACCTGTCCACTGGAGGCCTCCCCTAAACCGGACTCTCTGGGGGCGCTTTACGAGGCTCAGGGCCTGGTCCCCTGGCCTCAGGGACGAGGCAAATCGAATGGAGAGAGCAAGGTGCACTTACAGCCCCCTCTTAGGCCCACAATTCTCTGTCCTCTGGTCTCAGAGAAGCCTTCTCTCTGTGCCTGGATGACGTAAGTGCCAATTCAAGAGTATGATTCAGGAAAATAAAATATTGCTTAGTGGGGGTCACAGAGAGCCTTCAGTTAAGAGTTTTTGGGTAAAGTGTAGACCAGTGTGGGTAATATACACATGGCCTGGGTGTATAGTGTATAGGAAAGGGACAGAATACCTTTCATGATGGTTGGTCATATTCATTTTTATGTCATATATGTGCTAGCTGTGTGTTTCTTTTTAATTTTCTTATTTCGGGGTAGCTACAGCCTAGCATTATAAATGGAACCTCCGGAAAACTAGGTAAATGTAGGTGAGGGATGGAACAGATGTCTAATTTCAATGTAAAGCTCAACA